CATCTATTGCTCCACGGCAGTTCGGAAACCCCATTGCTGCATATCCATCCACTACATCCAGCACATTGTCAAGAATCATGTCCTGCATAGCAGGAGGCGATAAATGGCCCTGCACACTTGCATGACAATTGCTCCCGCAATGGATTTTCCAACTCCAAACTCATTTCCCACTGACAGGTAGAAATCTAGCGTTGCAAGTTTCCACAGTGTGACCTCCACTTGCTTCTCCACTGTCAGTACAGCTCCCATTCTGGTGTCCCTGCGCTGGAGGGCTGGGGCAAGCTCAGCATGCAGATCCAGGAATGTGGCCGTGTGCATCCAAAAGTTCCACAGCCACTACTCATCATCCCAAACCTGCATTTCAATGCAATCCCATTGGTCAGGGCTCGTTTCTCAGGCCCAGAAGTGGCGCTGCACTGTCTGCAGCTGTTCCATGAATGCCACCAACAACCATGAATTGGTTCTCACTATGTCCCACAGAAATCTGTCCTGCAACAAACCATGTGCTCTGATGATTCGGTTATTCTTAGAGCTCTGCAAATACTGGAGGCTAGCGCGTCCTGTGCTTGCAACACTTATGACAATAGTGCAGAGCCATTCAGGGTCTATGTTTCTGCCAGAGATGGCAGATAGTGAGGCAGGCCATGTGAATTCATGTGATTTTGAAAAAATTATGGAATATAGATGATATTTTATGGGGTGGAGACAGCTGCACGCTGGGAAGTTGACCCCTTGCTCCCAGTCACCTTCTTGTGGCCCCACCATGGATTTCCAAAGCTTCCCAAAAGTGGGCTGGACAGTGATGGCTTGCACACTGGAATATCTACCCATGGTGCATTGCACTGTGCATCAATATCAGAACTCTTGGTGAGTACCCACAGCACCGACGCAAGGAGACAAGTATGCAAGCACACAAGAGATATACTAACTGCAGCGGCAACCAAAATTTGTAGCGTAGACATGGCCTTAGTCAAAACATTAAAACAAAGTCACCATCCACCATTAAGCAACAGAAATTCAGAGAATCCTAAGCAAGGTGGTATGGGTAATCAGTTAAGCAATTGCTTAACTAAGGTTTATTTTATGCTCTCTCTCTCTCTTACTCCTGCCACTGATTCATGGTGTGAACTTCCAGAAGTCATTATTGATCTGATTTTCAGAGATGTTTCATTCCCATTAACCTGAATGGAAGCTGTAAGGTGCTGACAATGACGGAAAGTCAGGCCATAGGTGTGCACAGTATTTATTATTATGCACACCATGGGATGCACATAACAGGAGAACTTTTTGTGTGCACTTTTTGCTATTTAAACAGCTTCTTACTTAGCATTAAAAACATTCAGCCAGAAACAGAGGCAAGTAGTTTTCACAGACCCTAATGAGCAGAGCTGCAAGGCATCTACATGCCACTCAAACAGCACTCACATTTTTTTCTAGGCCATGGAACTAACTTGTTATAGGCAACCAAGCATTTTTCTCCAGTGAAGCAGAAGAGAAAATGCACAAGGTTTGTAAAACTTTAAAGAGTGGCATGTCAACCAAGTAAGCAATCAGACCATTTGAGGGTTGACAGTTCTTTGGGACTAACTGAAAACATGGTACTGTCATAAATACAGAATTAATTCTTTAGCACTCTGTGCTAAAGGTCAAATTATTGCCCATATATATAAAACCATTGCCTTCACATAGATTGCATGCACTTGGATTTGGGCAGTCTTGCATATAAGAAACTAGACTGGGAGCATTAGTGACAGCTGTTGTAAAGGATGAACTACAACCCACCTCTCTTTTTTTCCACTACTCATAATTTTCTCACGCAAATCCAATTTTTTCTGAAATGGTTTATGCTTGGTCTCAGCCCAGAAGGAAATATTGTATGTGGAATACAAAATCCATTCAGCCTTTTTGAGCTCTATAAATGTATTTTTAAACAACAGAATATACAACATACTTTTCCTCTTAAGTTCTATCTAATGAGAAATGTTGTGCATGTATATCTCAAAAAAATGGTTGAACCGGTTTTGTTCGAATATTGCCTGTTTTGCAGATCTCATTGAGGTCTAAGAATCAGGCCAGAGCTAGAAAAAAGTAGTACAGAAGTTTGAAGTTAAAGTAATATTCTGCGGGAATTGCAACACTGAATCAGACCAGCAGTCCAGCACCTTGTCTCACACTATGGCCAGTAACAGCTGCTTCAGACGAATTTATAAGCTACCCATAAAGAATGTTTTTCTTAACCTGTCAGTTAATGAATGAGTAATGTCCTTTAGCATGAGAGCTTAGAAACTAAATTTTTAAAAGATTCTCTCTAACGTAACTGTGAATACTGTTGTTATCCATTTAAATGTCTGTTTTTTCAAAAACTTCTAATCTCTTATTCAGTGGCACTGAATCCCCCACCTTAATAATGCACTATGGGAAAAATACCACATTATAAATTTTAAATTCTTTGTCTTTCAATTTAACTGAATATCCCTTGTTCTTGTATTATGAGAAAAAGAAAATAAGAGCTCCTGATTTACATCCATGACCTGAAGAAGAGGTCTGTGGAGCTTGAAAGCTTGTCTCTTCCACCAACAGAAGCTGGTCCAGTAAGAGATATTACCCTACCCACTTTACCTCTTCTAATATACCAATCATTATTCTGGTTACATCTCTCATGTCCCATTTAGCTGTCCCATCTCTAAACTAAAACAGTTCCAATATGCACACGTTCTCCATATACAGCAGTCTTTCTAAGCCTCTAATCATTTTTGTGATCCATCTCCTAACTCTTTCTACTTCTGTTCTATCAGTAAGCATTAGGGTAGGAATAAAATAGATGGGAAAAGGGGAGCAAATGAAGAGCAAAAGAAAACCATCTTATTAACTTACTTTTTCAATAGGACAAAACACTGATCACCTTAAAAGCAGCCAAAATTATATTACATACAAAACATTACATTAAAAGAACATTATTTAAATTGCAAAGTCAAGCACTCAAAAGCTAGGAAATGCCAGAATTAAGGTTGACTGTGCAACCTTTATTTGGTCCCCTTGTCTGTATGCATTATTTATACAGTGCTTAATTATATGGTTACATATTATTTTCCCCACAGGATCCCAGCCTCATTCAGTGCGCAGGGTAGATGGTGCTCACTTAAGGAGCAGCTATTCAATATTTTACTCTAACCTCCTTTTTCAGGCAATGTTCAGAGAACCCTAATTCTGGAGCTTTTGAGCATTCAAAAGTTTCAAAAGAAACGTGGGTGTTTAGGAGCCTATGGGTTTGTCTACATGGCCCCGCAGTTTGGAGCAATGGGGTGTGAACTGGAGCACACACTAGTGTGCTGCGCTGTGCTATAACTGCCCTGCGTAATAGTCTCTATGGGAGTGAATTAAATGATACCTAGTTCGCATTATGTAGTCCTGTAAACTTTGAGAATTAAACTAAACTGAACTAAGGCCATTTTAATTCTGAGTAAGAGCATACATACAGGGGTTTAATACAGTTTAACTAATGCACATTAAATTCACACCTTTAGTTAATTTGTATTAACCTTCCTGGGTGTCCCTGTTTTGACAAGCCCTTAGGCTCCTCAGTCCCTTTTGAAAATGGGACTTGGGTGCTTTTCACTCCGAATCTATAAAATATTTTATCTGCCCTGAAACTTTTCTTGATTATGTAAAAATATGAAATCAGCTCAAAGGTCAAGCCAACACTTACTGGTGGCAGAAGAAACAATTTCAATTTTGAAAGTAACCTGGACATATTGTTATTCCTTTGGCTTTGAGAAATCCGAGACAGTGGAGTATTTGCTAGTAATTCTCTTCCCCTTACAAATCATATAACAGAAAAGAAAAGATCAAACTTGTACAGTAGCCCTTTAATTCTCACTTTTCTTGAAGATTCCATAACTTCACCTTCACAGTGGAATGCCAGTTCCTGTTTACTCAAACACTGCACAAATGCTGCTGCTTTCTATGCAGTACGCATCTGCAATATTTCCTCTCCATTTCCACTTGTTCTGCAATTGTCCTATCAATATGACCTTTAGACTTTAAATGACACAGCTATGGCAACATAGCTTTGGGGAGAAATAAACTATTTTCTTTTGCCTGAGTGCAAGCGATCAGCATTCCCACCACTCTGGCCACCACTACTTAATAAAGATTCCCTACAATGAAATAGCCTGCGTGAGTAACAAAAGGGGGGAGGAGATGGGGAAGACAGAGAATGAGTTTAGGTGAAGAAATTACTCTAGCAAGGGAAGCAATAGATGCAGGGAGAAGTTCTCTAATGGAAAAATGAGGGACAAACACCACTGCTTGCTGAAATCAATGTTATTCTGCTGGCTTATTTGAACCATTAGAAGCCACATATTTCATTAGTAAAGGACAGAAATACATATTGGAGGGATGACTGGACAAAGAGCAGGATGGAAATTAAACTATTCCTCTTCTGCTGAATTTTTACCCATCCAGTCCCCCAGCACGGGTATTTGAATCAGCATAGTATTTAGTGCCACTCCTCAGTAGATGTAAGAGAACTTGCACCCTTCTGGAATGAGCACTGGAAACAAAAAGCCCAATTCATGCTGGATATGCCCAGCAGCAAGTTAGAATGCTCATTGCCATTCTCTGGGGTTGCACAGCCTTCCATTTGGAAAACTGGATCTGAATATAGCATAAAGCCACAGAGCTTCTACATTAAGAATTCTGGTGCTTAAATATAAGCCTCTCTTCTGCCCGCTCTGTTTGGGTAATAGAAGGAAAAACCTCATTTGCAATTCACAGTAATCAGCATTGGCCAAACAAACCAAAGGCCAAATTGGGATTACCTTATTCACACAAGTAGTTCTTTAATTTGAATTCCTGTAACTGACTTCAATGGGACTATTTTTTAAGTAAGAGAGTCACTATTTGGCACCCAGAAAGCTCTTTTTTACTACCCAAAATAGGTACACAGAAGAATCCTTAGAAGTACCACATATAGTCAGTTATTTATGATTCAGTGTTACCTTAGTCTTTTCCTCTCCTGTTATGGTGAATGATGCAGTCAAACTATGCTGTGTTTTGTTCTGGAAAAGATATAGAAAAGTATCTCAATATTATAAAACAAGCTTAATCTAATATATAAAACTAGCATACTGTCCAATTACTGTACAGAAGCTTCCTTCACACACAACTCAGAGGAAAATGTTTTTATTAATTATTATCATCACTTATAACGACAAAAGTCTAAGAGAAAAATGAAATACACTTATCTACTGCTAACAGGCAGGGAAGCAGCTGTTCTGCGGGGCATACTCCCCTCCTAACTGTACGGCCCCACAGAAGTTAATGGTGCTCCTCATAGCATTAACGTCTGCCTGGAAGAGTGAAGGTGAACCCAAAAGCAGCATGGCTCCTAAAGACACCACAGTAGAATCATAGGGCTAGAAGGGACCACAAGGGTCATCTAGTCTAACCCCCTGCTAAGATTCAGGATTTGTTGTGTATAAACCATCTGAGACAGTTTGTTGCATTGTCCTACTTTTTCTTACAGTTAGGAAATGTTTCCTGAGCTTTAATCTAAATCTGCTATGCTATAGTTTGAACCCACTGCCTCTTGTCCTGCCCTCTGTGGCAAGAGAGAACAACTTTTCTCTATCTTCTTCATGGCAGCCTTTCAAGTGTTTGAAGACTGCTATCACATCCCCTCCCTTAATCTCCCCTTTTCCAAACTAAACATACCCAGTTCCTTCAGCCTTTGCTCACATGGCTTCCATTCCATCCCTTTGATCATCTTTGTCGCTCGCCTCTGGATCCTTTCCATTTTCTCTACATCCTTTCTATACACTGGTGACCAAAATTGGACACAGTACTCCAGCTGAGGCCTAACCAGTGCCAAGCAGAGCACTACTATCACCTCCCGTGACTTGCATGCTATGTCTCTGTTAATACAACCCAAAATCGCATTTGCTTTTTTTTGCAACAGCATCACATTGTTGACTCATGTTGAGGTTGTGATCCACCACAACTCCCACATACTGACAAGCCAGTTATTCCCCATTCTATTTTTGTGCATTTGGTTTTTCTTTCCTAAGTGTAGCATCTTACGTTTGTCTTTGTTGAATTTCATTTTGTTGCCTATAGCCCAGTTCTCCAATTTATCAAAATCTCTTTGAATTTTAGCTCTATCCTCCAAACTATCTGCAACCCTCCCCAGGTTTGTGTCATCTATACATTTCATCAGTTTGCTCTCTATTCCTACATCTAGGTCATTAATAAAGATGTTAAATAACACCAGATCCAGAACAGATCCCTGTGGAACCTCATTTGAGACCTCCTTCCAATCTGACATAATTCCATTAATAGTTACTCTTTGTTTGCTGTTATTTAACCAATTATGTAACCACCTAATGGTAGTTCCACTGAGCCTGCATTTCTCCAACTTACTTATCAGACTGTCTTGTGGGACTAAGTCCAGATATATTGCCCTATCCACCAAGCTAGTTTCCCTGTCAAAGAAGGAAATGAAGCTGTTCTTAGTAAATCCATGCTGGCTGCTAGTGATCACCCCTTCATCCCCTAGATATTTGCAAATCGAATGTTTTATACATTGCTCTAGTAGCTTTCCAGGTATCAAGGTTAGGCCAACTGGTCTATAGTTTCCTGGCTCCTTCTTTCCCCCCTCTTTAAAGACGGTCACTATGTTAGCCTTTCTCCAGTCTTCCAGGACCTCTCCTGTCATCCATGAGTTTGTAAATATTATTGCTAGTGGCACTGAGATTTTTTCAGCTAATACCTTCAGCACCCTATGGTGAATAGCATTAGGCCCCACTGACCTGAATTCATTCAAACTGGTCAGATCTCTGAGTTCTTTACTTATCCTGATCTGCATTCCTTCCCCTTTATTGTCTATGGTAACTTTGTTAGTCGTCTGGTCACGTTATTTTTTGTGAGAAGACTGAAGCAAAGTAGGCATTGTGAAGCTCTGCCTTCCTATCATCTTCCATTACCAGCTCACCTTCTCCTTTGACCCACACCATCACTGATCTTTCTTTTTTGTCTGATATATTTGAAGAATCCCTTCTTGTTGTCTCTAACATTTCTTGCCCGCTATAACTCATTCTTTGCCTTGGCTTTCCAGATTTTGTCCCTACATGCTTGCGCTATTCCCATGTATACTTCCTTAGTGACATGCCCTTCCCATTTCCTACATTATCCTTTTTGGGTTTTAGATGGCTAAAAAGCTACTTGTGCAGCCACACTGGCTTCCTGTGGTGGTTCTTATCTTTCCTCTGCATTGGAATAGCTTGATGTTAAGCCTCTAGTATTACATCTTTGACAAACTGCCAGTCCCCTTTGACTCCTTTTCTTTCAACTGGTCTAATTCAGGGGTTCTCAACTGTTTTTTTTCCTGAGCCCCACCCCTCCACCCCCAACATACTATAAAAATTCCACGGCCCACCTGTGCCACAATAACCAGTTTTATGCATAAAAAAGCCAGGACCTGCGTTGTTCATCATCATCACTCCCATAACCGCATTGGTCATTGAGGCACCATCACTGATGAGCAATTAATCAACTGTCTCCACCCCTGACAATTGCGTGTCAGTACTTGAGTCTCCGCGAAGTCCATTTGTGTCCACTCTTTTATGTTGTCAATCCATCTCTTCTTCTATCGACCTCTTCTTCTCTTCCCCTGTACTGTCCCTTGGAGGATGATCTTGGATAGGCCAGATGATCTTGTTACATGGCTGTACCACTTCAGCTTGCGTTTCTTCACGGTCATCAGGCGGTCTTCATATGACCCAGTGCATTGGGTTATGATGTTGCCGACCTCTTCATTAGTGACGTGGTTGAAGTATTTCAGAGTAGCAGCCGTGTTAGTCTGTATCCGCAAAAAAAACCAGGAGTTTTTGAAACTGGCAATTTTGCAACAGAAAAGCTTCAAAAACAGACTCCAACAAGAAACTGCTGAGCTGGAATTGATATGCAAACTAGATACAATCACTTTAGGCTTGAATAGAGACTGGGAATGGCTGAGCCATTACAAACATTGTATCTATCTCCCCATGTAAGTATTCTCACACTTCTTATCAAACTGTCTGTACTGGGCTATCTTGATTATCACTTCAAAAGTTTTTTTCTCTTACTTAATTGGCCTCTCAGAGTTGGTAAGACAACTCCCACCTTTCATGCTCTCTGTATGTGTATATATATCTCCTCAATATATGTTCCATTCTATGCATCTGAAGAAGTGGGCCGTAGCCCACAAAAGCTTATGCTCAAATAAATTTGTTAGTCTCTAAGATGCCACGAGTACTCTTGTTCTTTTTGTGGATACAGACTAACACGGCTGCTACTCTGAAACCAGTGATATGTGACCTGATCCCATCACATTTGTTTGTCATCAGCTTGGTTTTCTCTGCACTGATTTCCATGCCATATTTTATGGAGATTTCATCCAATCGTTTCACAAGGTTGGCAAGTTCATCTTCGCTGCCTGCCAGGCCATCAATGTCATCAGAGAACCGAAGATTTGAGATTATTTGCCCTCCCAATGCTGACCGTGCGTGTATGATCTTCTAGGGTATCAGTCATTATGCACTCCAAGTAGATGTTGAACAGTGTGGGCGAAAGAAGACAGCCTTTCAGGACTCCAACAGTGGTGTGAAACCACTTTCCTATTGTGCCATTGACGAGAACTGCACTGCTGGCCTTGGCATACAGTTGTTTTAATGGTAAGAATAAACTTATGACCAACATTGGACTTCTTCATGGTTGCCCAGAGAGCTTCGTGCCATACTTTGTCAAATGCCTCCTTGAAGTCAACAAAGACGTGGTAGATGTCCTGCTGGTGTTACAAGTTATTCTCACATAGAACACGAAGGTTGAAAATCTGTTCTGTGGTACTTCTTCCAGCATGAAAGCCAGCCTGTTCTTCAACAATGATATTGTCTGTGTAGTGGGGCGGCTGCCCCACTCTGCTAGGCAGGGGTTAAAAGCAGCCAAGCTAAGCTGATTGGGGAAGCTACAGTCTGCTTGTGGCTTCAATCTGTTCAACATCACTTTGCTGGAATGGCTAATTAAGCTTATGATCTGGTAATTTCGACACAATTGCAGGTTGCCTTTCTTTGGCAAAGTGATGATTAGTGACTGTGTCCACATGGAGGGCCACTCACCAGTCTGCCAGAGCTTGGTGAGTACATCTATTACTATTTCTCCTCTGAATTTCACCGATTCAGCTAGGATATTGTCAATATCCTGTAGCTTTTCCATTCTTGAGTGATTTCACAGCTGTCTCCACTTCTTCACGTAGTATTGGAAAGTCATCCTCCTCTGTTGAATCTGGGCTGTCTAAGACACTAGGATCTCACTAGGGGAAGCAAAAGTGGATGGGAACCTGGGAGGCAGTGACCATGAGATGGTCAAGTTCAGGATCCTGACACAAGGAAGAAAGGAGAGCAGCAGAATACGGACCCTGGACTTCAGAAAAGCAGACTTTGACTCCCTCAGGGAACAGATGGGCAGGATCCCCTGGGAGAATAACATGAAGGGCAAAGGGGTCCAGGAGAGCTGGCTGTATTTTAAAGAATCCTTATTGCGGTTGCAGGAACAAACCATCCCGATGTGTAGAAAGAATAGTAAATATGCCAGGCGACCAGCTTGGCTAAACAGTGAAATCCTTGCTGATCTTAAACGCAAAAAAGAAGCTTACAAGAAGTGGAAGATTGGACAAATGACCAGGAAGGAGTATAAAAATATTGCTCAGGCATGCAGGAGTGAAATCAGGAAGGCCAAATCACACTTGGAGTTGCAGCTAGCAAGAGATGTTAAGAGTAACAAGAAGGGTTTCTTCAGGTATGTTAGCAACAAGAAGAAAGTCAAGGAAAGTGTGGGCCCCTTACTGAATGAGGGAGGCAACCTAGTGACTGAGGATGTGGAAAAAGCTAATGTACTCAATGATTTTTTTGCCTCTGTCTTCACAAACAAGGTCAGCTCCCAGACTGCTGCACTGGGCAGCACAATATGGGGAGAAGGTGACCAGCCCTCTGTGGAGAAAGAAGTGGTTCGGGACTATTTAGAAAAACTGGACGTGCACAAGTCCATGGGGCCGGATGCGCTGCATCCGAGGGTGCTAAAGGAGTTGGCGGATGAGATTGCAGAGCCATTAGCCATTATTTTTGAAAACTCATGGCGATCGGGTGAGGTCCCGGATGACTGGAAAAAGGCTAATGTAGTGCCCATCTTTAAAAAAGGGAAGGAGGAGGATCCGGGGAACTACACGCCAGTCAGCCTCACCTCAGTCCCTGGAAAAATCATGGAGCAGGTCCTCAAGGAATCAATTATGAAACACTTAGAGGAGAGGAAAGTGATCAGGAACAGTCAGCATGGATTCACCAAGGGGAAGTCGTGCCTGACTAACCTAATTGCCTTCTATGATGAGATAACTGGCTCTGTGGATGAGGGGAAAGCAGTGGATGTGTTATTCCTTGACTTTAGCAAAGCTTTTGATACGGTCTCCCACACTATTCTTGCCGCCAAGTTAAAGAAGTATGGGCTGGATGAATGGACTGTAAGGTGGATAGAGAGCTGGCTAGATCGTCGGGCTCAACGGGTAGTGATCAATGGCTCCATGTCTAGTTGGCAGCCAGTTTCAAGCGGAGTGCCCCAAGGGTCGGTCCTGGGGCCGGTTTTGTTTAATATCTTTATTAATGATCTGGAGGATGGTGTGGACTGCACTCTCAGAAAGTTTGCCGATGACACTAAACTAGGAGGCGTGGTAGATACACTAGAGGGTAGGGATCGGATACAGAGGGACCTAGACAAATTAGAGGATTGGGCCAAAAGAAACCTGATGAGGTTCAACAAGGACAAGTGCAGAGTCCTGCACTTAGGACGGAAGAATCCCATGCACAGCTACAGACTAGGGACCGAATGGCTAGGTAGCAGTTCTGCAGAAAAGGACCTAGGGGTCACAGTGGAGGAGAAGCTGAATATGAGTCAACAGTGTGCTCTTGTTGCCAAGAAGGCTAACGGCATTTTGGGCTGTATAAGTAGGGGCATTGCCAGCAGATCGAGGGATGTGATCGTTCCCCTTTATTCGACATTGGTGAGGCCTCATCTGGAGTACTGTGTCCAGTTTTGGGCCCCACACTACAAGAAGGATGTGGAAAAATTGGAAAGAGTCCAGCGGAGGGCAACAAAAATGATTAGGGGTCTGGAACGCATGACTTATGAGGAGAGGCTGAGGGAACTGGGATTGTTTAGTCTCCAGAAGAGAAGAATGAGGGGGGATTTGATAGCAGCCTTCAACTACCTGAAGGGGGGTTCCAAAGAGGATGGAACTCGGCTGTTCTCAATGGTGGCAGATGACAGAACAAGAAGCAATGGTCTCAAGTTGCAGTGGGGGAGGTCTAGGTTGGATATTAGGAAACACTATTTCACTAGGAGGGTGGTGAAGCACTGGAATGCGTTACCTAGGGAGGTGGTGGAGTCTCCTTCCTTGGAAGTTTTTAAGGCCCGGCTTGACAAAGCCCTGGCTGGGATGATTTAGTTGGGAATTGTCCTGCTTTGAGCAGGGGGTTGGACTAGATGACCTCCTGAGGTCCCTTCCAACCCTGATATTCTATGATTCTATGATCTCCATTTGCCTGATGGTTATATAGATCAGAGCAGTCATTTGTCCACCTATTGATGATGTCCCTTTCTTCTGTAAGACTGTTCCGTTCTTTGTCTTGAATTGCGTTAGCTTTGGTTCATCTTTCCTACGTCAAATCTTTTACAACCTGGATCTGTGTTACGGGGTAGCACGTAGGGCAATTGCCTGGCGCCCCATGCCACAGGAGCCCCTGTGAAGCTATATTGCTCAGGTTTCAGCTTCAGTCCCGGGTGGTGGGGCTCTAGGCCCTGGGCTTCAGCCCCATGCAGTGGAGCTTTGGCTTTCTACCCTGGGCCCCAGCGAGTCTAATGCTGGCCCTGCTTGGCGGACCCTCTGAAACTTGCTTGTGGCCCCTGGACTCCTGGTTGAGAATCACTGGTCTAATTAATACCAGGAAACACCTCAAAGGGACCATGGTGCCACAAAGCCAGGCAGAATTAGAGGGATAAACTTACTGCGGAGTTGGAGTTTCTTCTCTTGTGAATCCTGATTTTGGATGCTGTTCAATCTACTTCCTTAGTGTGCCCCCTTCCCCTTCAGCAAACTCCTTTCTCCCTTAAAAGAGGAATAGTTGGCAATGGGAGATAACCATGGGGAGTTTCCTGGGCCTCCAGTCCCTTTCCAGGGGGCTAGAGGCAGTAAAGGGGGTTTGATAAAAGGGACATAGACATTTTTTATTTGGGGAGGGCCAGATATGGCTTTAATACTATGATTTAATAGTTTTATACCATGACTAAATTAATCCACTTTTAATAAAGTGAGAAATGATCTTCTGTTCCAAACTCAGTATTTCCTTTATTTATTAATGGAATCCCTAATACTGGGGGGGGGAGGGGCGGGAGGAAGGGAGGGCACTAAAGACCTCTAAGCCCTACTTGTCTATGCCCATGTGATATGGCCCTAAGTCTTCAAACTTCTCAGAAAAGTCAACCCCAAGCAACTTCTAAACCAAGATGACAGGAAATACAGTTAGGCCTGGATGCACAAAGGAGTTAGGTACCTAACTCCCAGTTTTGCAACCATAGCAGTGCACGAAACTCCCACTGAACCCTGTAGGTGCTTGAACTTGTTTGTCATCTAACGTTATTGCAGTAAAAGTTCCCTAGGCACCTATGTTCCTGCCTCTGAGCATAAAGGCTATTACCTCCCTCTAGGCGTCCAGAGGCCTATCTCCCACCTAAGTCCCAGAGCAATTCACAAACCAGGGGATGATAGGCATTTGGCCACCTAAGTTGTGTGTGGGACCCAATCCAGTAAGCATCCTCTAAACACACATACCAGATCAGGTCACTCAGACGAGTTCATAAAAAAAACAATGGAGTGTGGTTCGGGGGGAAGAGGCGAAAGAGGAGGCCCTCCCTCATACCTCACCTGAGAGGTGGCAAAATACTGTTCAAATCCCTTCTCTCCCTCAGGTGGAGGAGGAGCCTTGAACTGGGGGTCTCCCACATCTCAGGTGAGAACTCTAACCACTGGGCTAAAAGTTATGCAGGAGGTCCTCCTCCCCAACCCCCACCTCCAGCTTCTTGCTAAAACAGCATAGGTACCTAAATACAGGAAAGGGTTCACAGCTGAGAATTGCTGGTAGAGATAGGCACCTCCCTGCAACCCAGACTTAGGTGCCTAACTCTGTGAGAGGGGTGAGGCTTAGTGCACACACCACTGGTCAGCATCTCCCATTGCCTAGCTTAGGTGGCTCCCTGCCTAGCATACTGGTGTTTGTGGATCACTGTCTAAGGCGCTTGTGTCTCCCTATTCATTGTATTGGGAGCCTGGGCAACTAACTCAGGCTTTGTGAATCACAGTGATTTTCTAGGTGCTGTGACGTAATGCGTCTCAATACCTCACTCCTTTCATGCATGGCCTTAGCCCTTAGGAAAACGCGCACAGACAACTCATCTTCAGATCATAAAAAAATTGCACTATCAAAACAGTGTAGTGGTCCACCTATTCTCTGACAGTGGACCATACCCGATGTTTCAGAGGGAGGTGCAAAAACCCCATAAAAGGCAATGCTGGAAAAACCTGTTCATAGGGGAAGTAGTTTCCTAGCCCCCATCAATTAATGGTTGACTTTTCTTTTTAACTATGGCTGTTCCAATTAGTCATTAAATGCTGAATGAAAAGAGCCATTTAAAGAATTGTCATCATTCTTACTAAGATGGTCAGTTGGTCTTTACATAAAAGGGATTTTAATATATATTTGTTTACATATATACAAAGACACGGTAAAAGAATTGGCCACAAATGAACAAATACATTAAGAATGCCCACAATTAAGAAAGCAAAGCCACCAGGGAAAATCTGAGACCCTATTATAAAGAAAAAGGAAATTACATTTCCACCGGTATATGGCACAACTTCCAACTCCTAGGAGACAACAAGGAGTTCAAGCGTGAACATTCACACATTCAGGTTACATTATAACATACTCATAAAACAAATGGATGAAACTTTGCTATTTTCTTAATGCACAGATAAAATGGAGAGAGGTCCCAAATATAGGGAGAAAATTATAGGCTAATACACAAATAACAGAGCTCTAACTTCTTTCATCTATTGAACTTGAGAGGCCCAGTGCCATAAGTCACTCCCATCATTAATGTATAATACTCATGTATTTACAGATTCATCACAGTCACTCAGAGAATAGTGTCTAAAAGCTTGTATCACTATGTGCTGACCTCATCATTTAGGCAGCCAAGAGCAGATTCCAGTATTCCCATACTGTGTGTACATAAATTATAAAGGATAAAATAAAATTGAAAATGAAATACCAGTGATGAACTGTTGAAGGTCAATGTAGCAGGCAGTGTCAAGACTCTGCCATCCCAGGTTTCTTTTGCATCAAGAAATGCAATGTAGTTGATTGAGTAGTATTCTCCAACTGTTATAAGAGAAAAATCAGTGTGTAAACTAAATGTAGATGAGTGTATTACAGAGTCATGTCTTTATTTTCTTTATTAAATCGGTAAATACAAAAGGCTTGAATAGAACCCAGTAGAGTTACACATCCTTGGAGTTTTATAGGAAAATAATGGGCTTGATTTTCTGAAGTGCTGACCACACACTTGAAGACAATGGAAGCTGCAGGTGTTCGGCACCTCTGAAAATCAGGCTCAACATAAATAATAGATTGAAATACCGTTTTAGGTTCCACTTATAGAATCCAAGCTGCGAGTCTGCATCAGCAGAAAGACCCCTTAGAACATGGATGCAGCGGCATAAGCCACTTGCAATCCTCACTTCACTAGAGGCAGGAGGGGCAGAGCCACCAAACACAGTGTGCAAAATGGGCAAAAGCAGGGCAGAAGGGGATAGGAGAAAGTTCATTCTCTCTCCTAGGCAGCCTCTAATGGTGAGGCTCCAATGGAGACTTGGCCGGACCTTGGAGCTTCCTTCCCTAGGAGGAATCTGTGGGGAAGGCCAGCAGCAGTACCACAGCCTCCATTTTCCAATAAGATAAACCCCTCCTCCCTCCAAACCCACACACATCCGCCACCAACACATGTTTAGTTGTCCCTGCAGTTACAGGGTGTACACATGCACAGTTCACCCCCTGCTCTGTCCCTACAGTAGCAAATCTGGCCCAGTACGTTTTGTGACATAACTGCAATGAAATCTGTATTAAGTGAGCATTCAAGACACCAGTAAACATTTGCTTGATGGAGATGGTCTTAATAAAAGTGGAGAAGAACTGTACTCATTACTTGGGGGAGGAATACTTTGAGGTGGTCTCTTGAAATGAGAGTTAACTAATAAGAGTGGTCTCCTGTACAGGCTTGTAGTTGATTCTGGGGTTGATCCTGCTCCCGTTTTATACTTTCATGGACTTAAAGGCCAGAAGGCACCATTAGATCATCTAGTCTGACTTCCTATATAAACACAGGACATTAACCTTCACACACATACCTTAATTTTAAGCCCCATCAATCTAGTTAGATCAAAGCATTTCAGTCAGCAGGAGACTGAACTGTTGTGTGCCACGAGCAGAGAACAAGAGGGACGATGGTACCACCAATGCCTGAGGCCCCTACATGGCAAAGAATTGATTAGGCAAGATATGCCTAGTCAATCCTAGCAGGTGACCAGCACCCCATCCTGCAGTGGAACACGAACCCCCATCAAGATCCTTGCCAATATTAACTGGGGGGAAATTACTTCCTGCCCCAAAATCTGGTAACCAGTTTGGCCCTGAATATATGGGCAAGACAAACCAACCGGGCATCTAAGAAAGAGCATTCTCTGTACCACCTCACAGCACTGGTCCACTCTGTCTGGGGTCCAGTCTCCAGCTGTGGCCAATCTCTGATGCTTCAAAGGAAGGCGAACCTTCTCCCCACCGCATACATCTGCAGTGTACTGAAGCCAAAAGGTTTTGTCACTGACTTCACTGAAGTAGAAATGGAATTTTAACTTAGAACATCTCCAAGCAATGAAGTGACTGTGTATAACACATACTATCTGCAGACACATCTCTAAGTACCATCAGGCACAATCTTTGTGCCCATCACTGGAGATCAGTTTAGGGCTGAGCTGGGGGCTAACATATCAATGAATGAGAGTTACAACCAAATGAGCTTTGTTCTTGTTTTGCCATCGTAGTTTAGATTTCTTCATAATGATGGAAACACCTTCCATTGGCATGGAAAGCAAAATTCAATACCGCTGTAATGGAAGCTGTGCCAGATGTGACCATTGTTCCAGCTTTGTTTGCCAATTCAGTAATGTAAGTCAAGTTTCTTTTCTCGGGGGGTAATTCTTTCTAAAGAATCTCTGGGTTGAAAGCCAGTAACTCGCTGCCAACAGGTTCAATACCCAATCCCACGATCTGTGCCACCAACCAAGCCTCCGTTATCAGAAATGGGCTCTAGTTATTAACTTCCTACCATGCTAAAGCCCCATATGGACTAATTTTACTATCTGGAAAGTATTCAGTTTTTAGCTATCATGCCATTGCTTATTTACTTGAAAAAAGTAATCATAATTTAACAGCTCTGAAGATGTACTTCAAGAGGGTGCAGGGCCAATGTCATGACCCCAGGAAGCAAGAAATTAATTCTGGCTTCCTTCCCTTGCCCCTCACACAGGGAAATAAGGGATATAAAAACAGCTACTGGGAATCAGAAAAGGGAGATTTCCTGCAGGAGGACAGGGCTCCACACCAAGTTTTTAGGTAGGGGGTTGAAACCAAGGCTAGAGAGGGCTTGTATTTTGGTTTCATTTATGGTTATAAAGATTTACTTTTGTTTGTGGGTTGAACCCTATATAGATCTAAAATCTCCCTTATCTATATTGCAGACAACGCTTTAGGTCCAAATTCCACATTTATCTCCAAGCAGGTGAACCCTTATGCCCATGCAGACCCAATGGCAGGATAAGAGTCTTAGATTATTTTGAGAGAATTTTTAAACATAAAATTTCACTTTTTACTGAGTAAGCTATTTGGTTACCATCTGCATGACTTTCAGCTTGGATAAAGAAATTATCCAGATCAGATTTGTTTTGATACTGATTATCCAGGATTTTGTTTTTTAAAAAAATCTTTCCATTGGAATTAAAGTAATACAGAAACATTCTTTACTTGTGTCAGGTTTTGAAGGAGCTAAGTGTTACACAACTGAAGGGTCCAATTCTGCATCCACTGACATCAGAGACAGCTCCAAGCTTGGAGATAAATTTGGCCTGACTCACACCTCCGAGTTGAAAGAATATTACAATTGCAGAGTTGAAAACAAACCTTTCTGGAATTAAGATATATTAACTGTTAAAGGGTGCTTTTGTTTTAACCTAAGTCACCAGAATAAATAATTAAATATCCTAATTTGAAGTTTTCTTGTCACAAAAATTGTCTTCACATATTGAAAAGCAGAGCCACTGCTTAATTAGTTACCTTGCAGGAATCCTCTCCTATATATCTGGAACCCATCTGTAGTCTTATTACCACTGGTTCCTTGAACATGGAGGCCAGTAATATTGTCCAGCAGAATGAGATCTGTGACATTGGATGCAGATGGTGTGTTGGTATTATTTATCAGAAGTCTTACATATGCAGTTTGGAGATCATGTTGAGTAGCCACCTAAAACCAGAAATACCAATAGTTTTGTTTTGGAGTGAAATGGTAGTATTTAGCTGCAAATTACTAGGCCAACTTAGTTTAGAGTGTGTGCGTGCATGTGTGCGTTAAAGCTTTTTCTTTGAGGGCATTTTAAGTGACCTGCTGACAACATCACACTCCATTTGATTTCAAACTCCCAGAGAGATTTTAATCTCCTACACGTCAAGCTGTTGCTTGGCGACAGTGCAATAGAAAAACCTGTAGTTTGAAATCCAGGATAACAGCTCATGCAGAGAAAGGACTGAGTGAAAACAAGAATCTGAAAATCCCAGAGAGACCTCATACAGGAGAATTGGAATGCAGTGTTCTAATCAGGTTCTGGAAAATTCATAACACTCAGCTTTGGCAGCATGAAGAGAAGGCCCTTAATGCACGTCACACTTGCTATCACTTCATTCTCCCGATGCAGTTTGATCTCCTATTTAACCCCTGGTCTGAAAGGGTTATACAGCCTCTTATTCCCCCCATCTCACGGGCTTGCTAACTCACCTTAGGACCCATGGGTAAGGCTACGATTTAGTCACGGAGGTCACAGCAGTCATGGATTCTGTGACTTTACTGGACCTCCGTGACTTCTTCCGCTTCAGCTGTCAGCAGCTGAAGTGCGGGGTGGAGGCAGGACTGTGTGCCCCTGCCCTGCTGCAACAGCTTGCAACTGCAAGCTGGATATCTGGAATCACAACCCTGCAGCCCGAGCCCCGCAGTTTCACCAGGGGCTGCAGCCAGGGCCGTGTGCTCTTTCCCCACAGCATCCCAGGACTGTGCACCCCCCACGGCTGTGGCCAGCTCCAGAGCTGGGGTTGCACATCCCCCACTGTGCTCCAGCACCGCGGTGTCTGCCGGGGGCTGCAGCCAGGGTCGCGCGCCCGAACCCTGTGGTGGGAGCTGCAGCGGGGGACTGTGTGCCCTGCCCCAACAGCGTCCCAGGGCTGTGCACCCCCCCGGCTGTGGCCAGCTTCAGAGCTGAGGCTGTCCACCCCCACTGTGCCGCAGCCCCGCAGCAGCTGGGGGTCGTGCTGCAGCTGGGGCCATGCACCCCGGCCCCGCGGCTTTTGCTGCAGCAGGGGCTGTGCATCCCTGCCTTGTGGCCTCCCCAGGCCGTGTGCCCCCTCCTGACTGCGGCCAGGGCTTGTGGGCTCTGAAGCTGGGGCCGCGGATCCCTATCTTGCAGCTGCAGCCATCTCTGGAGCCGGGGGCTGTATGCCCCCTGCTGGCTTGTCAGTCCCCGTCCCACCCATGGAACTCCATTCCTCCCCCTATTTAGCCCTGCCCCAGTTATTTTTAGACAATATGGAACATCCCCGTTCTGCTGCAGGGCACAATTCCTGGACTGCTTCTCCTCTGGTTGCTCCTCCTTGCAACCAGCTCTCTCCCGACAAACACTGGCCTTGCTGGGCTCAGCCCACCTCTTGGGAAGTCCAAGCCATATGCTTGCTCTCTGGGGCCTAAAGTTGGTCACCAGGACATGTCAGCTACACTCTGGCCCCAGTAACTCTTCCTCCTCCCAAACATGGAGTCTTTCCATACTCAGCTCACATGTTGGGGCATTCCCAGCCATGCCCAGGGTGTGTAGTAGATGTAGGATGCATCTGTTATTATTTGCTTTGTGAGTGTTGTACTTTAAATTTCTAGGAGTCTAGGCTGCAGCTCAAAGCAGCCATTTTGTGAGGAAGTTCAGTGCAGACTGCTACTGTGGAGACACACACTATTACGCTCTCCCGCTTACTTTGATTCTTCTTGTTTTTACAGATTATTACCGTTATTGTTATTTCTAGTCTAAATTTGTCTAGCTTTAACTCCCGGCCACTGGATCACGTTATACCCTTGTCTGCTAGACTGAAGAGCCCATTATCAAATATCTGTTTCCCTGTAGTTACTAACAGACTGTGATCAAGTCACCCCTTAACATTCTCTTTGTTAAGCCAAACAGATTGAGCTCCTTGAGTCTTTCACTACAAAACATGTTTTCCAATCCTTTAATTATTTTCATGGCTATTCTCTGAACCCTCTCCAATTATTCAATAACCTTCTTGGATTGTAGACCCAGAACTGGACACAGTGTTCCAGTAGCAGTCACACAAGAGGTACTATAACTGCTCAACTCTTACTCCATAGTCCCCTGTTTATACATCCAAGCCCTTTTGGCCACAGCATCACACTGGAAGCTCATGTTTAGCTGATTATCCACCATGACCTGCAGTGTCACTGCTTTTCAGCATCACTGCTTCCCAGGATAGAGTCTCCCAACCTGCAAGTGTGGCCTGCAGTCTACCCCACAGTTTCATCACTCAGCGTTGGCTAAGAGGAGGTTCTCACATATTTATATAGATTCAAATCTTCCACAACACTGTTCCATCTCTATTTAGCAGGCCTTGGGCCTGGATCCACAAAGGGATTTTGCGGTTGTAATACCTAAATAATCTGCGTCTTGGAAATCACAAAACTCCACAAATCCTTTGTTAGGCACCTACACTTTCTACTACACAATGCATGGAGAGAGACAGGTGCCTGAGAATGGAATCCACAAAAGTCAGCACACACTAGGTGGGGGAGTCACCTAAGCTAGCCAATGGGAATTACAAACAAGAAGGGTGTGGACTACAGAGTCATTCAGAGTCTCTCTCTCTCAGTCTGGCCCAGTGCAGATTTAATTATTTCTATAAAACTTCAAACAGGAGAGACTGATCTCCCATCAGAATATCCCACAGTCCAGTGGTTGGGGCCCTGACCAGAGGTGAGAAGTCCTGTTCCAATCTCTTCTCCTCAACAAGCAGAGAAGGGAACTGAACTGAGGTCTCCCACATCCTGGGTGAGTTCCCTAACCATTAGGCTAAAGCTTACAAAGGAGGCTTCCTCCTGCTCCCTCGCCGTTTTGTGTGGAGGTCGGCATGCTCAGAGCACACCTACTGGATCAGGCCCCACATGCTTAATTCCTCCCATGCTCTGCAAAAAATTTCTCCACTGTGAGGACAGGGCACAAATAGGCTTCCAAAGCCACCTTTCATATGTGGCTCCTGGGTACACAGATGTGTGCTGTTTCTTTACACCTGTATCATGGGGGGAACTGGAGAAAATTCTAGGCAAATTCCTTAAAGTGAAGTAGAAAGAGAGAGTAGTTTAAAGGATAATCCTATTTTCCATATTCTAATAAAGTCCTTCATTCGGTGTTTGGCCCTAGCAACTCCTTCCCACTTTCACAACAGCTCCTGCCTCTTATTGCAATTCTCCTCAGCTGGCCAAAGGGATGATGTCTTCAGATACATCTGCACATTTTTGAATGCTATAATAATAGTTACATTGGAGTTCTGCCTCCTCACTTCTGATTAGAAAGAGCCTGAAGGTGAGTAGTTGGGAGTAACAGGAGATCTTAGATATTTCGCTGACAAGCACTAGAGAAAACATTCTAACAGATAGCAAAGGAGAGGGAAAACCCTTACACCTCACCTCCACTGAGGAAAACTTCCTACAGCTGCAGCTATCATAGGGAATAGATGCCCAGAGGCCACAATCTCCCTTAAACCGCTGGCATTCACTTGTAACCTGCAGCTCTTGTTCCTACAGTAGACCCTGATGCTGTCAGCCTGAAGCAGAAGCAGCATCTCACAGAGACAGTTGAGTAACTATAGAGCCCTGGTTTTTTTGTCCTCTGTTTCTAAACGGCAATCAGCAAATGCTATCAGCCCATGGACTAGCACACAGGAGACTGGGGTGAAGAAGCAAAAATGGGGGAAGGGTGGAAAGGAGAGGAAACAGTCAGGACAGAAGGGATGAGGGGGGAGAGTAATCAGGGAAGGGAGAAGGATCAGGAACTTGCAGACAGAATCTTATGTTGGGGAAAGGGTGGAAGAGCTTTAGGAATGATTCCCACACATCCGGTGTGTAAGACATGGGAATTCAAGTGACAGTGAGAGGTGTCATTCACCAAAAAAAAAAAAAAAAAGGAAAAAGAATCATTTATACCTTGCATCTGTTTATAAAGATCTACCAGGGCCCTGTTTAAGATTATTGCAACTGTAAAGCACTAACACATTGATGTTCTCATTATTTGGTGAATGACACAGTTTAAAGCAGTGGTTCTCTAAGCCGGTCCACCGCTTGTTCAGGGAAAGCCCCTGGAGGGCCGGGCCAGTTTGTTTACCTGCCGCGTCCACAGGTTCGGCCGATCGCAGCTCCCACTGGCCGCGGTTCGCTGTCCCAGGGCGATGGGGGCTGCGGGAAGTGGCGCGGGCGGAGGGATGTGCTGGCCGCGGCTTCCCGCAGCCCCCATTGGCCTGGGACGGCGAACCGTGGCCAGTGGGAGCCGCGATTGGCCGAACCTGCGGACACAGCAAGTAAACAAACCAGCCCGGCTCGCCAGGGGCTTTCCCTGAACAAGTGGCGGACCGGCTTTGAGAACCACTAGTTTAAAGGGCACACTGATCAAATTGGGCCCTTATTCCCCCGGCTCCCAATGTACAAATGGAGGAGCCAGGCCCACTATATGTGAGTCATCTTTACACCCTGGTTTCAGTGGCATTATCTACGTGAGGAAGGGACTACAGAATCTGTCCCTCAATGAGTAAATGTATGTCATTTCCCTGCTGGTTTTGCAAAGGAAATGCCTCAAACATTCCTAAAATGGAGGAACAAAGTAGATCTTACTTTTCCATTTAAATTACTAGAGACTGCCATATGGTCAGCCAGGTGTTAGGAGGAAAATGTCTGTTCAGATGTATTAGGATTCAAATAAAAGTGCAAGCTTAGTAAGTTAAAATAAAATATGAATTTGATCCAAAGGTGGAAGACAATTCACATGTAACAATTTTTTTTTTTAATTTACAACTGGCAGCATTGAAAGATTATTTCTTGATAATCCTACCATCTGAAGCAGACTAGTTTTGATCTTGCGCAGCAAGACTTCGCCATTTTTAATGAGACTGCCTAGGTTGTACTATGAGTAGCAGAAAGAATCAAATATGCAAGTGTTTCAAAACTCTCTTTCCAAGATCTTCTTATAATAAAGGAGTAGTGAATCTGCTCTATAAAGCTTTCTGAAGCGGGAGGTTTTGTCTCACCACTTCATGTAACTGAAATTATCAATATTCAGTCTTGCTAATTATGACCTATGGCCATTTTGATGATAACATTACAGTTAATTAGGCTCTGCAATGTAACGCATATGTATTCTCCATTTCCTATTTTCCACGCTGTGCATATGATCTGGTCCAGTTCACCAGGTCAATATTTTCAAATCAGCTGCTAAATTCCCAATGCTTGTACGCTGGGTCATTTGAAAGGCTGAATCCAAGCTTGACTTAAAGCATGACACACTATCTTTCTCCATGCAAGGGACAAGCAGAGTAAATTGGCTGTGATTACAAATATTCAAACCTGATCCGACCAGAGTAAAAACGAAAACCCAAATTAGGTTTTAAAAATCTGGCCCAAAATAAACAAACTGGAAAAATAGCCATTTTTCAAACCCACCTAAGCAGGTTAAGTGCCTCAAGTCAATGGGAGTTAGGCATCTAGGCTGCTGGTGCACTTTTGAAAATCCCACTAGGGGCCTGTCTGCATCTTTAGGCACCTAAATATCTTTGGAAATCTGGCCCTCTGTGTATTTGACAGCAGTCTTTGTGTATAGTCATTTTCACTGTTATCCCTGTCAGTTTCCCTCCATTTGTGTGAGTTTTTCAAACAGCAGGGGGAGAGAAAAAATATTTTTTTTAAATTGGAAAATGAGATTGTAAAGCCCCAAACATTGGCAGATGGATTAAGGGCCAGGTGCAGTAATTGAAATATATTGAGTCATTTAATAAAATATTTCAGTTTGAGTGTCTCTTTCACTCTATGTTTACACTAGACTTCCTCCTAGTATCTGCTGTGGCATATCTAATTGTGTTATCTATTGCTGTGATTAATTTATATATAATTAACATGTGGTGAATAGATTTAAATTGTAGGCATAGGTATAGCAATAAGTAGGATAGTATTATAGAGGTATAAGATTGGCAAGCATTTATGAGTGTGCATTAGGTTATAAGCAAAGTAGGGCTTAATGCAAGGCTAGCAGGCTGAGGCCTGTAAGATTTTCTCTTAGATACATTAGGCCTTAAAGGGTAGGCATGAGCAGGTAACCGAGGGGGTACCAGTGAAGTTACAAGGTTACTGTAAAATATATGCTAATAAGTGAAGTTTGGAAAATATGCCACTACGTACCCATCAATTCTGCAAGATTGTAACATCGTGGGAAATTCTGCAGTGAGGGCAGGTTACCATGGGAACTTACTGATGTAAATGCTAATTAAAATAAGGAGAACTAAGAGGATACCCTATGAAAAGTGAGGCACCCCAAATTTTATGGAGTGTGGAAGTCCAGATACGGGAAAAGAGGTTGGAACCCTCATGCATCTGCATAAGGGCTATGGGCATGAGTGTAACACAGAATAAAAAGGGATCCTCAGTATGAATAGGGAGGAAGAATCCATCAGGAGACCCTCTACAGCAGGAGTTCTCAACCTTTTTCTTTCTGAGGCCCCCCCCAACAGGCTATAAAAATTCCATGGCCCTCCTGTGCCACAACAACTATTTTTCAGTAGATTAAAAGCCAGGGGGTCTACATTATGGGGTAGCAAGGAGACCAACTGCCCAGGGCCCAATGGCACTGGGCGGGGGGAGAGGTCTGCAAAGCTAATTTGCTCAGGCTTCTGCTTCAGCCCTGGGCAGCGGGGCTCAGAATTGGTATTTCTGCCCTGGGCCCCAGTGAGTTTAACACTGGCCCTGCTCTCTGGTTTATTTTGGCAGACCCCTTGAAACCTATTCACAACCCCCAGGGGGCCCTGGGCCCCTGGTTGAGAACCACTGCTCTACAGGTAACCTTCTGTTGAGAGATCCACCCATCTTGATGGTACCCTTGGGGAGGCAAGAACAGGTTGAACCTCTGTAGTCCGGCACCCTCAGGACCTGACCGGTGCTGAACTAGAGAATTTGAAGAACCACATGAGGTCAATATTGTAGTGAGCGGGTCTCTTTTTATTTTTAATCTCTCTGAAGCAAATAAACAGAACAACGCTTGCAACGGCGCCTAGCCAAGGCTTACCGGCTCTCTTCATAACAAATTGTTACCGTTGTTACACAATTTTATTGCATTGGCACAAGGAAATAAGTAGATGAAGCATAAAAAACATAAATAAAATCATGCCGGACCACGGATGTTGCCGGACCTGATCGTGCCAGACTACAGAGGTTCAACCTGTATGAAAACATCGATGTTGGACATCTTATGATATTTCGCCATCTTCACTTATGTATCTATAGCTGTGGCATTGATTATATGTGTAGTAAGGCTTTTAATAAAGGGAAGATTGATCATTTGCAGATGCTGTTGAGGTTACTGCTATCATTCCTCATGTGCTCCTAGAGTCTCCAGAACTAAGGATATTCCTAATAGTGGTTCTCACCCTGCTAATTCTGATACCGTAGCCTTTAGGGAGCATGAACCCATGTCACAGGTTACTATGGTTTAAGATACCATTGGCAATATCAACTCATCAATAATATAAAGACTACACTGCTCAGTAATGTTCTGTACTCTGTACAGTGTTAGTAAATGCTGCTGACTATTGTTTCAAAGCTCATTCCTTACAGATAATGTTGAAGTATTAGATTACATTTCCTGTATAACAACTTCCTCCCTGTATTATACAATGTAAAAGTGTTTGTTTCTGTGTACTGGCTTTGGGTTATATTAGGGGTCTTATTTATATAACTGGACAAAAAATATTCACAGAAGATTTGGATCTTAATACTTCCTCAAATAAGAGAAAGCAGTATCTCGAAACTTACCACTGCACATTTCTGAAGAGTTATCCCATACCCAGAAGACACTGAAATTCTTGGCACATCTTCCGGCTGGGGAGGGAAAAAACAAAAATCTGTGTTGTATATGGACTCATCTCAATATAAAACTACAACACAAGTTGTGTAATGTATTGAAGAAAGAGAAAAAGAAGTTAAACTGATTCTCAACCTTGGTGTTTAAGAGCTCTGCCATCCCACCAACGAATCTTCTTTTATCTGTTTATACAAATTTGTTTAAACTATCTACTCCCATATAATTATTAGCCTAAATGACATATGTTCATTATTGGTGACCAGACTTCCATGACAAAATGCACAATGTGCAGAAACAAATTCATCAAATGGTACAGATGCATTTTATTACTTTGAGCGTTAGAATTTATATGGCATACACTTGACTGTACCTGTTACTATAGTTATAAGGAACTCACGCATTTAGATGTTACTGCTGAAGCTGCCGAAGGTGAACATAATCATATGAGACACAATTAGAAACTGTATACTAATTAAGTACTAAATTCCCAGTGATAGACTACTGCTGATCTTACTTCTCTTCAACCCTTTCAGATATTAAACATCAACCATGTCTTACTGACCAGCTGCTGGTTAATGGTAGACTCTCGTTTGAACAAAATCTTCTTTGTCCATGAGGGGATCAAGGCAAACAGTGAATGGATCCCATGCACATCTGGTGCTGCGGAAGTCAAAAGCAGATCATGGTCTTCATTTGTTCCCTTTAATCCTGTTCCCAGTAATTCTACAGCTGAAAGTGAAAGTAATACTCTACGTTAGAACTAAAGCATCTGTCTCACAAACTCTAGATCCCACGTGGCAAACACTTGCCACTGTGCATAGCAGTAGCAAAGAGGATTCAACCATTTTAAGAAGAGGTTAGACAAATACCTGTTAGGGATGGTCTAAGTTTACTTGGTCCTGCCTCAGCACAGGGGGATGGACTAGGTGACCTCATGAGGTCCCTTCCAGCCCTTCCTTTCTATGATTGGGGCCCTATTTTGCTAGACAAACGCAGTATAAGACAATCCCTCCCTGAAGGAGCACGACAAGGCAGGCACAGGGCAAGAAGAAAACCGAGGAACAGAGAGGTGAAGTGAATTGCCCAAGATCACACAGCAGGTCAGTAGCAGACACAAGAACAGAACTAGGTTTCCTGATTTCCAGTCTAGTGCCGTAACTGCTGACCTTACTCCCTCTCATTCCAAAGGAGACAACTTTAATTAGCAGGCTCTGTTCTCAGTGGGAAGTGTGTACAACATTGGAACCAGTGTCACTTTCTGAAATAATCAAACTATACAATTCATAATAAACTTCAGGCAAAATTCTGCCCTCAGATATGTGCACACAACTCTCACTGGGAGCCCAGAGAAAAGGTTTTGTATGTGCATCTCCAAGAGCAGAATTTTGTCATTCAGATTTAAAACAAATTATACCTCAATTAACAGGTTTCAGGCTTAAACCAACAATTAATAATTTCAGCCCACACTAAGATTTCAGAAAAGCATGAATAATTGAAGAGCTTTATAAACATGAGATACCTAAATATAAAAAAGCCTTGTGCTTCAAAGACACAGTCTGCCAGTAAACCATTAAACATTTAGACTGTATTAAAATGTTTCTAATCGGTGCTTTGTTCTCAAATGAGTTTCCGTTAAATTGTAATACAGTCAAATCACATTATGTAAAACAGTAATGCCAATATTATTTTATAACATGTTGAAAAAAGATTTGCCTATGATGAATAGTTCTGAAAATATAAACCAAAATAATTTAATAGCATTAGTCTATTCAACACAAGTTCTTACAGCACACTCATCACTGTACTATCTAAACATCTTTCATATAGGGATAAGATCCAGTATTACTATGAATGGCTGCTCATGCTAAAACGTAGTTTAATCAAACTGGCGTTGATCAGTAAATTGGAAAATAATTTAAATTAAAAATTTCTAAATTGTTTCCGTTTCCAGGGTTTGAAATGGACATGTCCCATCTTTTGTGAAATGTTCTCAATATTTTTTACTGAAATTTTTATCAAACTCACGTTTGAAATTTTTCATTTAAACAAAAAACATGTTTGCTTTCTGAAAACCCATGGTTTCAGTAAAATTTTTGATAATTTTGAAAATAATTTCCATATGAATTTTGATTAAAACAGTGCTGGAAAATTTTGTGAGAAGTAGAAGGTTTTCATAATGTCTACAACTTTTTATTAAAAGTTTCATTTTTAATAATGCTGGGTTTTTTTGACAAAAAAATAAATTTGTGTACAAACTTTCAACCAAAGAAATGTGAAACAAACAGCATATTTTCTGTATATTATATAGGATATTTCTCTGTTGTATTTTGTTGGGATTAGTTATGTTGAATTATGGCCCAACTCCAAGTAGTATTTACCACTTGTTATAAGGTTCTGTTTGCACCTCACACCTTTTAGGACTAAGCCCTTAGAAGTGAATTTGGTGACTTAAATCAAAGCCCTGGTGAGCAGGATTTAAATAAACAATTATGATTACCATAATAATTGAGATGCCAATATAGACTCCAACCCTGAAATGACAGCACACAGATGGACTTCTACACCCATGAAACACCCGTTGACTTCATATGTAGAAGTCAAAGCTTATCAGTTGCAAAGGTTGGAACCCTATTGTGCTCAGGAAGCACTTTATATTGAACTGCAAATTAAAAATATTGGAAAACTAAAATAACAATGAAGTCATTGCAATAGGCGAAAGGTTACTCTGAATATTTTGCCATTGAGATTACAATTGAATTCACTAAATCCCATATATTCATATTATGCACAATATCATAGGTGTCAGATACATGAATTATTAAGAAAAATCTTTGCTGTCCAATTACAGACCATATTCTCTGCTCCCTTTCCTATGAGTCCAGGGGATAGATATGTAAGAGAAGAATCTGTTAGCCATTTGTAGTCTCTCCCATTTTGGTAATCTATGTGCAAAGAGGTGGAGCTTGCATTTGCAATGACCTCAATTACTGGTCATCATTAGGGACTGAATCTTGGAACTCCACTGTTAAGAGGATTGACTTCTGAAGCTGGCATGTGTAGTAGACTTTATCCTCTGACAACCAGCCATCATAGGAGGTGAATGACACACAAAGTAAAGTGGGGCACACTTTTTTTTTTTTTTTTTTTTTTTAAAAGGAAAGCTGAAATGGAGGCAGTTATTAGTCACAAAAACAAACAGAGTAATCTGGAATTTAAGAGTTTGAGCTATAATCTGGCAAGCAGTGGGTGCAGAATCCCAGAAGTCCGTTCTTTGACATTCATATACCTCTGCACCACATCCGAACTCATATAAACCATACTGGTTTTGTCAGTGTCAGAATTACAGCAGATTGTAAGACATGGCATAGGCCATGTCAGGGCATGGGCCATGTCAGGGCATGGGCCATGTCAGGGCATGGGCCATGTCTTAGGTGTAAAGTGCCAAGCTCGGTGCTGATGCTCAGTTACCAATAGAAAAAATTGTGCATTTTTAACAATAAATACAGTAATTCTAATCGTTAGCCCTTCCACCAAAGCTGCATATTTTGAATCTGTAAAGAAATTTGTTTTTCCTAATGAGGCCTAACGTCAACAAAACTTTCAGTTACCTTGTCTTATTTTTGTTTTTCAAAAATGCATTTGTTTACTATATTTGTTTTTTCGCCCCCTTGGAGTTATTCTGTGTCCTCAAAAGCAGCCCTCACACAAGAACCAATTTAAAGTCCCTTCAATTACACACACCACTGAACAGACAAAGGTAGTAATTTACTGCATTTCAATTTCCAATGTTGCCATTAGCTTTTGTTGTTTCAAAGATAAAGATGCTGTGAGAATAAACCAGAGGGTAAGAGGTAGGACAAAACAGAAAAAAATAGGATGCTTTTCAGCAAAATCTATGATGCTCAATGAGAGTGTTATGTTACTACTGCTATGCCCACCCTCTACACCAAACCTGTAGAACCAAGTCCTGAATCCATGCAAGTCAATCTGGGTCACCCTGGTCATGCCTGACCCTGGAGAAGAAGGAATGTTCACAATAGCTGAATCTGTTTTTACTGTGTGGAGCCAGGACACACCTTTGCCTCCTGTCTAGCTTGAAAGAGCTCAGGAATAGACCAGCCCAGGCCCAGTACCGGGGGTACAATCTGGGCATCACCAGACTTCCATGCTCTGTAGCCACCCTCAAACAGAGCCCAACCCAGGAACCGTGGGCTCTCCCCACATTTCCAATTGCCACTGCAGTTGCGGATCTTGGAGCAAGCGCAGGAGACTCCCCTGCAACTAGCAATGACAGACTCCAGGGCTGCTGCTAACTTTATACATGTTAAGGCAGCCCAAACCCTACAGATTCCTCTCCTGCCAAAACCCACACCGGACCTGGTGGACGCAATTGATGGGTTATCCCTATCATCAGGACTGGTGACCTAAGAGACAGTCCCCTTAGAGGCCGAAACGGAAGGGCATCGGGAATTAGTATGTTTTGATGTGATCTGCTCTCCATTCTTTCCAATAATTCTTGGCATTCCTTGGTTGGAGCTGCATTCCCAGTGGATCTCCTGGTGACAGAGGAGCATTAGCTTCTCCTCCGAATATTGCCAGATAGCTTGCCTCCAACAAATCGACTAACCCCAAGTGGTCGCATCCATGGTCCCAGGATTGGATAAGACCCTAAGAAGTGAGACCCTGGACTGTAGGGGGTAACCAGAAGAAAGCAGCCCCAAACCAGAAGCTCAGCCTCCTTGACAAGTACTGAGACTACCTGGGTGTGTTTTAAAACAAAAACGCAGATTCACTATCCCCACACAGGGACTACATCTGTCCAATAGACCTATAACCCAGGGCAAGGTGCCCTGTGGATGGACAGACACTATTTTTCAAACCAGAGCTGGATGCACTAAGCATGTAGAGCAGGACAATCTCACAAAGGGCTTCATTCAGAGATCCACTTCTGCAGGGGGGCACTAGTCCTCTTTGTGTGAAAAAAGGATGGGCCACTATGCCTCTGCATAGCCTATCATGCATTGACTCAGGTGACTATTCAAATCGGTACCCCCTACATCTCATCCTGGAATTGCTGGACTGTCAGAACCTTTTCACTAAACTTGATTTTTCAGGGACATATAATTTAGCATGCATAAGGCCTGGGGATGAATGGAATACAGCTTTTCATACCTGATATGGGCATTCTGACTATTTAGTAATGCTGTTCGGCTTAACCAATGCCCTTCCAACATTTCATAAACAATTTTCAGGGACATTTACCTTGATGATATATTGGTGTTTTCTGAGAAGCCCTGAGCAGCACTGCCATAATGTCAGTCTGTCCTGGAGAGACTATGAAAGCTTAGTTTGTACGCCAGACCACCACTGAATTTTTAGGTTATATGGAGCATTCAAATAGATATGCAGAAGGTGGAAGTCATTCGTAACTGGACAGCACCCCAGACCCACTGAGAACTTCAGTGCTTCCTGGGCTTTGCAAATTTTAATAGTTGATTAATTGCCAACAACTGTGAACAAATAGCCCCCAACTTGCCTCCTTCATAAAGCCATTTGATTCACTTGGCTGCCTGAAGCCCAGCTCGCTTTCAACCAGTTCAAGACTGCCTTCACCACAACCCCAGTTCTTGCACACCCTGACCCAACTCACCCATTTATAGTGGAAGCAGATGCATCTAATGTGGCCCTCAGGATGGGACTCTCTCAGTGACTCAGACCCCAGTCAGTTCTTCACACCTGTGCATTCTACTCTCAAAAAATCATCCCCACAGAGATGAACTATGAAATACTCGACAAGGAGCTGCTCACAATCAAAACTGCATTAGAAGAATAGCATCACCACCTTGAGGGAGCTCAGCACGCAGTACAGGTATTTACTGCCCATAAGAACCTCCAGTACCTCCACAAGGCCTGAGCTTTGAACCAGAGGCAGCTAAGGTGAGCCATGTTGTTCTTTTGATTCAAGTTTACCATTACCTACCACTCGGGAAATTGAAATGGGAAAACCATTACTCTATCACAAAAGGGGGAACACTACCGGGAAAAGGAGGACCTACTTCTGAGCCCCCTTTCCTCCACAATTCAGCAAGATGGCCTCTCCCTTATCCGGTCTGCCTCAAAAGAAGATTTGCTTGCCACAGACTATGGTATTAGGAACTAAAATGCACATTTCAGTGAGGGATGGGATAATATATTTTGATGAACACATAAATGTTTCTCTGGGGCACCTCGGCTGGAGGTGCTACAGCTATGCCACGATGCTCCATTGGTGGGTCACTTTGGCTGCCCTACACCTCCTGCATGGTTGCCCTTTTTTATGGTGGCCCTGCATGCTGGCCAAAGCCCAAGCTTACTCAGGATCTGGGTTCTAGACCCTGTTGGATGGGTGGGTCAGAGCCCGAGTCCTGCTGTGACTCAGGTCCAAGCCCTGTCAGTTTCCAGTGTAAATGCAGCTCAAACCGCAGACCCAAGTCAGGTCAGCCTAATGCAGTGTGGACACATAAGCACAGTTGTGAGACCCAGGTCCAGCAACTGTAAGCCCTGGTTTAAAATGCAGCGTGGATGCTTCAGCATCGGCTTAGAACGACCAAGTCCACAAGCCTGGATCTCACAGGCCCAGGTTTACCGTGAAGTGCAGACATAGCTATAGCGACTGAGAAACAGAGATGCATCATGTTTTGTTATATTGCAAATGTTATTATAAAACAAACTTTTTAAAAGCATCTGGCTCCCAGGATTCTCCAGCACTTCGAGGTTTAGAACAATTGGAAGGGCAGTTAAAATGAATACATACCTGTCATACCGAAGCGGTCTCTCTTTTTTTGAATCCGCTGCTTATCTGTAACAACCTACAGTTAACACAAAAGAAGAGTGACTATAAACCCAGGACCTTATTTACAAAATACATTTCTAATACTGTTTATTCTAAGTCTCAAACTGGCAATGTGCTTTACACTAAAGTACAAATTCTGATTTCTCAAAACTCATAAGATTATGAGAAGTGGCAGCGACTAATGAATAGTGCACTGGACCTGGGGTCTGCGTTCTTATGCCTTGGCCCTACCACTGACCTGCTGCATGCTTCTGGGGCAAGTCACTTAACTTATTTCTCTCCTGTCCTTTGTTTAATTTGAGTGTGAGCTTTCTGGGGCAAGTGTACTCTCTTACTATGTATAATAATTAGCCACATGCAGCAAAAAAACATTTTCCCAACTTTAAAATATTTCTTTAGTGGTGAAACCATCGCATAAAATTTTTGACTTTCTGGTGATAATATTTTTTTATTGGTTTTCTTCATTAGGCCTTTTATTAATCTCAGAGTTAGATCTGTGTTTCTAACTACATCCACTATGTTCTCCATGTCACGAAATAATGTGTATATGGTGGGTGAAAGACAATGGGTTACCCAGTATACGTCCAGTTCTTAGGTCATAAGTGGCACTCCTAAATCTTTCAAAAATATAGAAGCAAAGATAAGTACTGTGGTTAAGTATAAGGAAGATAAACTATATGGTCAGGAAGCATAGTCTAGTGCAGGGGTGGCCAACCTGAGCCTGAGAAGGAGCCAGAATTTACCAATGCACATTGCCAAAGAGTCACAGTAATACATCGGCAGCCCAAATCAGCTCCCCCCTCCCCACCCCCAGCACCTTCTGCAGGCTGGGAGCCCTGCCGATCAGCACCTCCCCCTCCCTCCTGCCCACCGCGATTAGCTGTTTCGCATTGTACAGGAGGCTCTGGGATGGAGGGGAGAGGAGTAAGGGTGCAGCAGGCTCAGGGAAGGGGGCAGGAAGGGGCAGGGGCCTTGGGGTAAGGCATGGCATGGCCTGGGGTTGAGCAGTGGAAAGTTGGCACCTGTAGCTCCAGCCCCCGAGTCAGCACCTATGCAAGGAGCTGCATATTAACTTCTGAAGAGCCACATGCGGCTCCGGAGCCACAGGTTAGCCACCCCTGGTCTAGTGGTTAAAGCACAATGTTGGAAGTTAGGAATTCTGGATTTTATTCCTCCCTCTGCTACATTCAAGTCATTTAGGCCCAAATTTTCAATGTGTTCACTAATTGGGGAGCCTTCGTTTTTGGGTCCCCTACTTCAGATACCATGCCAGGGCACCACTTAGGGAGGGCCAGGGGGCACTTCCCGCCACCCCCAGTTTCATACCAGAGGTTTTCTCGTGGTGCATGCCCCAGCCCGAGCTCTTACCTGCAGCCAGGTCCCCTCCTCTAGGAGCTGGGGTTCTCTGGCTACAGCTCCCGTGCTCAGTTTCCTCTACTGCACTAGAATCACCCACCCGGCCCCCTCATCTGCCTTCACCAATCAGCAGCTGAGACGATATAGAGTGACAATCCTCCTAACCAATAGTAGAGTTCTACACTCCTCTACTACATCTGTGTGGGGCTCTAGGGGCATTATTACAAATAATAATAAACTAGAAACTGACTTTAAACTGGAGTGAAATTGACGCTTTCAAGTCATTGTCACTTCTGTTTATAGGCTAATTACTTTCCAGAAGACTCTTAAACACAATACTGCAGTGACTGAGTTGCAGTTCTCACAGGAGAATATTTAAAACCAAACCCCAAGAAAATGCCATATTTTAAAGTTGAGAAAAAAAAACAGTCTTGTTTATTATTTAGAGTTTGAATATATGTTTTTTTAAAGTATCATTCTGTGCTTGGACACTGTGCCTCAGTTCTCATTGCTGTAAAATGGGAATAATAATACTTGCCTGCCTGCCTGCCATATGGAATTATAAAGATTAGATTGAGATCTGTGGGGCAGGAACAGATCTTAAACCTAACCAGTGTCCCTTAAGTGACTTGACACAAGACGTCAGAACACATACTAGAGCCGGAAATGTATCTCAATTCTGATCCCCATTCTGCTACTCTACCCTCAAAAAATGTACACTCTCCTAGCTAATGATTTAGACAATGGATAATAAGACTGTTCATTGACATATCTTGTATGTCCAGCCTGCCAAAAATAAATGTGGGATTTTCTTTAAAGTCCAGTTGTGGTCAGAAAAGCAGCTCTGTAGAAAACATCACCACAATCAAATACATACTTTCTCTGTTTCAAGTCAAATCTGTTTATTTTATGGATACAAACATGTTTTTACTCTCAGTGGTGCAGGAACCAATATCAGTCAAGAAAAACAAGCTGTATTCTGTCTGGCCGCATACATCAACAGAATTATTCAATGCACTATTGATGAAGATGAAAGAAGCAGAAAGAACTCAATTTGCCTTTCAGGGTTAAGCAAGGGCAGGAATTCAAAAATCTTTCTTGTTAATTGATCAAATTTAATCTGGAGTCAGAGGACAAGTAGCTATGGGAATATTTAAACATTAAGTAAACATAAAATTACAAAGTATTATATTAATCTGTAAACATGAGTTAAAAGGAGATAAACTAAGATGAACTAAAATTAATTAAAAAACAAAGGTTCATTTTTAAATACATTCTAACCAGTATGCCATTCTTCTGTGGTCTCATTTGAGATTTACAGTAGACACCTAGTATCAGAGGGGTAGCCGTGTTAGTCTGGATCTGTAAAAGCAGCAAAGAGTCCTGTGGCACCTTATAGACTAACAGACGTATTGGAGCATGAGCTTTCGTGGGTGAATACCCACTTTGTCGGATGCATGACGATACCTAGTTCCTGGCAGAGATGTCTATACTTCTGTAAAATGTCTTTCGTATAACGCCAGTTGTCAAATGTGAGTTAAAGTGATCTGTGTGGTTACAAATGTAATCCACAGTTTCAGTGTACAATAAAAATATTAACTACAAAAATGAGTTTATGAAAGTCAGTAAACTGAAGTTAAAATAGAGATCTGTGTTTTGGTGACTCAGAAAATGATTTCCTGGTATGCAGTGTCATTGGAATAATTAGTATAGCGGGGGTGCTAAAAGCCATTGAACAAAACTGTAAACCCTGTATATGACTTCAAGTCAAGGGGTGCTGCCGCCCCCCAGCACCCCTAGTTCCAGCACCCTTGTGGTATGTGATTTCCTTATATGTAATCATTGATTTTTTCCCCCTGGCAAATGATGGTTTTGTCAGGGCTGAGTGGTTAGATTTGGAGTGGAGGCTAATATATTGAGGATCTAAATTGTAAGAATAAATCAAAATAAGAAATATGTAGACTCTTAAATAAAACTTACTTGCATCTCTGCATACAGAACAGAAGTTCAGCTCTCAGGACTATTTTCCACTCCCCCATTAACAGAGCGAATGGAAGAGTGCACACAAATTAAAATCTGACAACCTCACAGAGGATGGGTTGAGGTGACTCTTGATTTAGGTAATACTATCCTGCTTTTCAGAAGAATAAACTGACGCACAGATATTAAGTCTGACAATGGCCTTGTCTGCACTAATTCACACAGTGCTAAAGCTGGCTATTTCCATAGTAAGGAACTGTAGAAGTTCCCCACCGGAGCTACCACCATTATAGCTGGGAGTCCTGATGCAGACAAGGTGCTACCAGCCTCTATTATCATCAGATTTAAAGACATATCTACACAGCAAAAGCTGGACATGGGCTTGTCTGTTCAACCTGAATCCAGCTAGCATGGGTAACAAAAGAAGTGAAGACAGCACAGCACAGGCTTCAGAATGGACTAGTAAGCCAAGTATGCACCAAAAGTCCATACCAGACTTGCACTACCCATGCTGAAGCCTGGCTGTGCTGCCTTCACTGCTATCATTACCTAGGCTGGGCTGGATTCAAGCTACCTCACAGCTAACCCATGCACAGTTAACCCATGCACAGCTTTTTCAGTGTAGACACATGACACATGACAGTGACAGTGGTAAAAATACAGACAAACCAAGTATTTTTCTGTCCTTGTTGATGAAGCTAAAGATGCATCAAAAAAAGAACAGCTGTGTCTCCTTTTACACTTCTGTGGGAAAGGAATCATTCAGGAAAGAGCTCAGGGCTGCTTCCACGTAGAAAATCTAAATGCTGGATCTGTCTCAAAAATGATTATTGAAGAACTACAGCATTTGAAGCTCGATATTAATTACATTTTTGCCCAGTGCTACGATGGAGCTTCTGTGCTGAGTGGGCATTTAAAAGACATACAAGCTCGAATTCAGGAAAGGATTACACATGCCATTTATGGGAAATGCTGTCCTCACAGGCTTAATCTTGTTCCAGCAGACACATGTTCAAGCATCACCCAGTGTCAGGGAGTCTTTACATTTGCTCAGGCATTGTACATCTTCTTTAGCAGTAGTTACAAGTACCGGGAACCATTTGTTAAGGCACAGCAGGAGCTAGGCCAGAAGGTACTTGAACTAGGTAGATTATGTGAAACTCACTGGTGTGACTCCCTCTGGAAACAACATGCAAGATTGGCACTGTAGTGGAAATACTGGAAGCCATTTCAGTTCAGAGCTGATGGAGCATCAGTTAGCATTGCAAAGGGCTTGATGGCAAAGATAAAGAGCTATTCCTTTCTGTTGAGGCTCTTGGTTTGGGAAAGAATATTCAAGATTTTGCACAGGGCTTCAGAAGAACTGCAAAATGAAAACCTGAATGTATTAAGAGCCATGGAATTAGTAGCAAGCAATGTTGCTGCTCTTCAATAAATGAGAACATCTTAAAGCAAATGGAAGGAGATGTGTGATGAAGCTGAAATCATTGCCAAAGAACTTGAAATTGATATTCCGTGTCTATCAATCGCAACTGTTGAGCACAGCAATACAAAAACGGCAAGAAGCCTTGGTTTTTGTTTATAGTACACTGGGTCAGTCATCAACACATGATGTTCCCAAGAGCACTCAAGAACCTATAAAATCTGATTTCTATTATCCTATTCTGGACAGAATTCTTGCTAAGCTTGATAGAAGATTCACCTCCAACTCCAGTTTGCTTTCTGCACTAACTGCTTGTGACCCAAAGAATGAAAATTTTCTTGATTATGAGAAACCAAAAATAACTGCAGATCACTATGGATCAACAGGCACCAATTTTGGCGATCTGGATGCAGAATCAAAGTTGCCAAGAAGCACATTGCACCAAAAAAAACTGACTTCAATTTCTGAATTCTGGAATGTTCTCAATGTTTTACCAAGGGGTTACCAGTCTTTGCTGTCTATTGTAGATTATTGTGTTGAGCCTTCCAGTTTCTACAGCATCAAAAGAGAGGTACTTCTCTGTGCTCAAGAGAGTTAAGGACTACTTAAGACCCACAATGGGAGATAGGCATGTAAGAGATTTGGTAATTTTAGCCTGTCAATGTGAAGCTTCAAAACACTTGGATTTTGCCAAGATGAGACCATGGCATTATCCATTGTTTTTAGCTCATATCTGGAGTGTGTTTTTGTTTTCAATAATTTACCTTTAAATATTCCTGGAACAAATTACCTGTCTCATTCTCCTCTTCACAATTTAGAACATAAGACATTTAGAAAACAACAATAATTGCAGGTGTAAGAAGATTTTAAGTAGATTTTATTTATTTTTATTTCTGTCTACTAAAGAGAGTGTACAAACTGTTTCTGATATCTGTGTTAAGGCTCCAAAACTGATACCTCAAGTCTTGGGATTATCTTGCTATATTATCTCCTGATTGTTCTAAATTTACATATAAACGTAACATATGGCTTTAATTGCTGTCTGTATATATATTTTTTCTTCTTTCTTTGTACAGAAATTAGATATTGTGCTCATGTCAGCTAATTTCTAAGTTATTTCTGTAAAAAAAATAAAAAAAAATAAAAAAACTAGAGTTTTCAGGTGCCTAAGTAGTCCCTGGAATCATGGTTAAAGTTGCCCCCGCACCACCACTGCTTAATTTGTGACAGGGATTGCCAGGCCTGAGCCTGGCACCTCTAGGCTTGGCAGTTCATAGCCCCAGCACTTCTGGGCTTGCTGCATCAATTATGAAAATTTTAAAATTGCTTGAATCCCAGTACCAAATTGGTTGGGCCTCCGCACCACTTTCATGCTAAATTAAGCATTACCCCCGCCCCCAAATCTGAAATGGTCCCCAATACCAAGGGCCTACTTATTAGAAATGCCGAGTGCTCAGTATCTCTGAAAGTCAGATCTGAAGTACCTTAAAGGTTGGGCACCCAAGGTTAGTGGATGCTTTTGAACATTTGGACCTTTCATGTCTCTACAATTCAGCTTCCTCATGTGATAAAATGGGGCTCAACGCCTCTGCCCGACCTCCCAGGTAGAGGGATGAGGTTAGATTCGCCAGGGCAGTAGGGTGCTCTGGGAGGGCAGATCACCGGCAGCCCTTTGCCCCTCCCAAGGGCTTTCCAAGCAGGAGCTCACACGCCTCGGCGAAGCGTCCTCTTACCTGGGCTGCCGTCTGGCTGCACCATCCGCCGCTCGGGAGGCGGGGAGCCCGGCCGCGGGGTGACTCCTCGGGGGAAGGAAACCGCGAGCCAGCGGCAAGGGCCACCGAGACCGCGTGCCCGGCCCCGAGAGGAGGGGGATCTCCGTGCCCCGGGCGGCTCGCGGGCAAGTCTTTGCGCTGGGCCGGATGCTGCCCGAGGCGAGGGGGGTCTGCTGCCGGGGAGGCCCGGGCTGGGAGCAGCAGCAGCACTCGCACAAAGTAGCCAGCTACCAGCGGAGCCCCCGGCGGGGAGCGGAGCCCCCCTGGAGCCGCTGCTCGCATGAGACAGGCGCGGGGGGCGCAGCCGGCGCAGGAGCCCCCCCGTGGAGCGCGGCGAAGCGCGGCCGCCGCTGCCAAGTTACTGGCCCGCAGAAAGTTTCTTTCCAGGGGGTCCGGCTCCAACCAGGCCGAGCTGCCGAGGCGCCGAGCCACAGATCTGCCGCAATCGACTTCAGCCGCGATCGCTCTCCTCCCGGCCCGAGGAGGGGTTGGCGGGCCGGTCCCCAGCGGAGATTCCCCTTCCCCCGGTCCCCAGCCGCGAACCTCGGCCCGCAGGGAGTGGGCTGGGAGCCGGGATGCCCTGGGCTCGCCAGGCGGGAGCTGCCCAGCAGCGGAGCTCGCTGCGCTGCTCTGGGTCCTAGCCCGGGGCCCCTCCCCCGTCCCAAGCAGAGTTGGAGCCCCCGCCTCGAGTTCTCACTGCGGGCTCGTTCATGGCCTCTGCTGCTGGCGAAGCGCCGCCAGGGCCCTGCCGAGGGGAGATCGGGCTGCAGTTCTGGGTGGAAGCCTTGCAGCTGGTTCCCGGCTTGCTGGCTCCCGCTGTGCTGCTGGGGGTCGCCTTGGGCGTCGGCGCCGCGCTCCTGCTGTGCTTCTATGTGATCGGGCCTCTTCTGCAAAACAAGGTACGCGTTGCTGGATGGGATCTTTGCAGTAGAAGGTTTTGGCTTCGTGCGGATTGAGTGGGTTTGGGTAAATACTCTGGGTCCTACCTGATCCTGCCAGCCTTGGCCTCCGCATCCCAAATTGGAGTAGAACAAACCGTCTGGCCACTCTCCCTGCTCTTAAAAAAACCCCAAACCAGTGTCTGATGCACAACAGCAACACAGGACACCGGGTCTGTCATCTCCTGAATCAAGCCTGCTTTGGGCCTCTAACTCTCCAAATTGTAATGGGTATACAGCGAATACATGTAAATGCTCCTATTGTATCAATATCTGGAGCATTACACATTCTAGTGCAACAGCATTGCAAACCCCCCACAGCTGACATCTGGATTCTATTGGATCTAGCTGGCAGCACAAGAAAATCTGCACCCAACCATAATAATGCTTCAAAATCCCAGGTTTGACACATAGACCCTACTGGATGCAGCAAGTTTTTGGCCCTCATTACTCAACTTCCTTTACTTAAATAGAGAACAAACGTAGGTGCTCCTACTGCTCAAAAACATTTCTAATCAATGCACTTTGTTATGCAGCAACACCCCAAAACTTGGGTCCTCCTGGATCCAGCCAGTTGTTGGCCCCAATTGTCCAAATTCCACTAGCTATATAGAAAGCACGTTTAGCCTGCCTGCTGCACTTTAAAACTCCAGACTGACTCTGACATGCCCCAGAGCAGCAATGCCACAAAACTTGGATTCAGCATCGGAATCCTTTTGGATCCAGCTGAGTTTTGTCCACTGACCCAGAAATTACACTGCCAAAATTAAGAATAAGTGTACTTTTCTACCACACTTTAAACACTGACACATCCTGGTATAAGAAAGTGGCAAAAACTCTGATTTGATCTAGGCAAAGGTTTTGCACAACAAATTTTTTGGTGGCCTCAGAGCAGTGGTGGGCAACCTGCGGCCCGCGGGCCACCAGACCATTTGTTTACATTTGCACGGCCGCCTTCAGCTCCCAGTGGCCACTATTCGCCGTTCCCAGCCAATGGGAGCTGCGGGAAGCGACAGCCTGCCAGTGGCTTGATCTGAGGGGCCGCAGGTTGCCCACTACTGCCTCAGAGTGTGGCCACCAACTCTTGCTGGTGGCCACTCTGACAATTTTTCCTAAAATACTTAATTAACATTAGGAAAAAGAAACAAATATGCATATATACATGTCCAAATCATTGTAATTTATTTATACAGGGATTTGGGTTTATTTTTGAAACTCAATAATAAATATAATGTACAGTTGTCTGTGTTCTTTACTGGACCTAAACAGAATAGAAACAAAAATAAGGTGCTTTGCATGTTCTTTGTCCTTTGTTGTTGTTGTTGCTTTTGGGTTTTTTGGTTGGTTGTTTTTTTTGGGTTTTTTTTAGACTTGCTGGCTAGTAAGTCTGCTATTGTGAAAAGTAATATTTGTATGTTTGTTAATTTTTCACAGAAGCAGGCTTGCTAGCTACCTGGGAGGCAATGAAAAGTGATATTAACAAACATACAAATATCACTTTTCACAGCAGAGTTACTCAGTCCCAGCAAGCTGGGGGACAAAGTAAGCCCTGGATTGGGAGATGGGTGGGTGGGGAGGCAGGGGGGGGCCAAGGATGATGGAAGGGGTGCCAGAGGAGGCAGCGGGGGCCAGCAGCAATGGGAGGGGGGTTGGAGCGAGCCCGGGGGCCAGGCTGGAGCCTGAAGCCCTGCGGCTGGGGACCAGAGCCCATTGCCACACGTCTGAAGCCCAGGGCCAGAGGACACAGCGGTGGCCAGGGATATTGGGGGGGCGAGCCCAGGGCCAGCACCCAAAGCCCTATGGCCGGATCCTGGGTCCCGAGGCCGGAGCCCAGGATGGAGGAGGCAGTAGGGGCCAGGAGCGACAGGCAGAGGGTGGTGAGCCTGGGGTCGGAGCCCAAAGCCCCATGGCCAGATCCTGGGGCCCCACAGCTGGACCCTCGGGGACAGAGCCTGTAGCTGCACAGCCGAAGCTCAGAGCCAGAGAACATAGCGGGGGCCATGGGTGATGGGGGTATGAGCCTGGGGCCAGAGACTGAAGCCCCACAGCTGAATCTGGGGTCCAATGGCTGGAGCCTGGGCCACGTGGCTGGGGATGGAACCTGCTGCTGCGCGTCCAAAGCCCAGGGCCGGGGATGACGCAGCGGAGGCCAGAGATGATGGAGGAGTGGTGAGCCCAGGGACAGAGCCCGCTCCTCAGTTTTACCATCTATATTTAATACATATGCAGCTTCTTCTAGTCCACCACAATAATGCCAATCCCCATGTATCATGGAATAACAACACTACAAACATGACTGTGAGCAACTGAATTCAGCTAGGTCAAGCTGGGTTTTGGCACTGAGCTCCTGAATTAGAACATTACCATGCTATCAAATTGGAGTCTTCACTTATACAAATTCATCTCCTTTGAACAACATGATACCTTTTGGGCCACCACATATATGTGTCAGTAACATTACTTATGAAATAAGATAAGCACCTGGATGAAAAGCTGCTATCTCAAACTCAGTCTGTAAAACAGAGGTAGGAATTGGGTTGTAGTTAAAGGACCTGCAGGTCTGACTCCCATCACCCATTGAAGACTTACTTACTCTATTTGTCAAGAAGGTGCACATCCTGGGGTTCCTTTGAGACTTTTTGCTTGCTCCTAGATACCAAAAAGCAGCTGTGTCCCAGAAGTGCCATTTTCTAATTTCAACTCAATTGGAAAATGTGCCCTTTCTTAACTACTGCAAACCACCCATTCTGATCCACATATGCACCACCTTTCCACTAGACTGCATCAGGGTGTTCTCTATTACATTGTACTTTAGGATGTTCAGGTACTACAGAGATGAGGGCTGTAAAAGTATCTAGACCAGTGATTCTCAAAGCCGGTCCGCCACTTGTTCAGGTAAAGCCCCTGGCGGGCCGGGCTGGTTTGTTTACCTGCCACGTCCACAGGTTTGGCTGATCGCAGCTCCCACTGGCCGCTGTTCGCCACTCCGGGCCAATGGGGGCTGCGGGAAGCAGCGCAGGCCGAGGGATGTGCTGGCTGCCCTTCCCACAGCCCCCATTGGGCTGGAGCGGCGAGCTGCGGCCAGTGGGAGCTGTGATGGGCTGAACTGTGGACGTGGCAGGTAAACAAACTAGCCCGGCCCGCCAGGGGCTTTCCCCGAACAAGCAGCGGACCGGCTTTGAGAACCACTGATCTAGACAGAATGAGTGTGGGGGGGACTCAAGCTGAAGGCCATATGAATGTTTCAGATGGCCTGACAGCAGCCTGCTTCCTGGGATATTTAGATAGACATGTGGACATCACCCCAGTTTTCTACATTTTCTGCTGGCTCCCTATTCAATAGTGGATCTTCATCAAGAGCCTGTTTCCAGCAGATGAAGCCCTCAATTGACTGGAGCTAGTCTGTATCCAAGTGTGTCTTCCTCTGTCACCCACCTCAGCAGCTATGATCAACAGGAGTGATAAGGCTGACAGAGTCTCAAGTGAAACTCTTGTTAGCCTAACATTCTCAGCTGCAGACTCTCAACTATCCAACTTCTAATATAGATGCCTGCATTTAAACTGATCTAATCCTTGCTTAAATCAATTTAGCTTCATTTGGTAATGTCCTGAAACAAGCTGGGATTTAAGCAAGGATTAAATTCATTTAAGTAGATCTATGTTAGGGGCTTTGTACCAGTTTAATTGTTGCTCTGCAGATGCCATACACACGAGAGAGACCTGTTTACTTAGATTAATTTAAAATCGATTTAGCTAATCCGCTGCAACTTTTCTTGTACAGACATGGTCTCTGTCTTGTCACTTTAGGGCACAACGGAAGACTTACCTGGTTTGCAGAAGTCTTCCTGAAATAACGTTGACCACAGAATAGCTATCAGTGTCTTCTCCCGGAAACAAATAAGAACAATCCCACTTACAAAGCAGTAAAATGAATGGAAGAATGGAGAGAACTGTCCCTTTTAAACTGGGACTATGTACCTAGATCCCATGGTGCTTTAGAAATATATGAGGTAGAAAAAGAATGAGGCATATTGTATACATTTTACAACTTGCTTGGGGTGAAACTGCTATTTAGTGTTTTCCAAAGCACATGCTCTCTCTGTTGTTTAACATGCATTTGTCTGATTTTAGTCCTCTTTGGAGAAATATGTATATTTTCATCATCTTTTAAAGACTAACCCTGGTTGTTCCTTGCTTTTTATCACAATGTTTCTTGAGACTCCAGCATTATTTACATTGTACATATCCATAGAATTATTTATACTACACCAGGTTATTTTCTGGGAACAGCATTATTGATTTCTTTTGGTTTGTTCTTGCTCTGCATCAGACTTAGACCTATATAATATTGAGTTAATTTA